GGAAAAACCACAGTGGATTATTATGCAGTGGTGAAAAAGAATGAAGCAGCCTGGCTTTCTGATACTGAAATCCTTCTAACCTACACTGCTAAATGAAAAAAAAAAAAAAAAGAAAAAAAAAAGAGGAGTATGTATTTGCAATTACTTTTATATGTATAAATATTTCAAAATAACACAAAAAGTTAACAAGAGCAGTTACTCTTGGGAGAAAAATTTATTGACCATGCATGAGTCTTTCACCCATGTTATATTTTTTTTATCATGAACCAGGTGAATGCTCTATCCCAATAGTATAAAAATATTTACATTATAAATATGTTCTAAAATAATTAAGGTCATTGGAAATCTCACAGTCTAATAATCTATGTAAGTAAAAATCAGGTTTAAAATATTTCACATACAGTAGGAACCTGATTTTGTATAAACTTATATAAAGGTAGAGAAATTGAAGAAAATATTTTTTCTCTTGTTTGAACTTTTCTGTATTTTCCAAACTTTCAGGAAGCATATTTTATAATTAGATAAGCACTATGTAACTTATTTCAACAACATATGCATATCTTATTTGTATATTCAGTTAAAACTGGTGTTAACACGTGCACAAATACACACAATGTACACACACACTTTTAAACAAAACTTAAAACCAGCTATTTTTTATGCTTGAAATACCTTCTGCCTAACTTTCTTTCAGTTTAACTCTCTACCTTTTCAATGCAACATTTTATAAAACCTCTTCATTTTATAGCCTCTTTTGGTACCTTTAGATATAATCTTGCTCTTGACGTGCACTGCTTATTTTGCATCATTTATATGAAAGTCTTATATCCCAACTGAAGTGTTAAGTTGGGATCTGTTTCCCATTCCTTCATTTGGGCTGGCCTTGTAACTAGCTCTAGCCAATAGAATAGATGGTTTGCTAGTTCCAAGTATAGGCCTCAAGGCACATTTCCTCTTGTCTCTTGGATACGTGCCAAGATGAATGTGAATAAGCCTGGGTCGGGCTGCGTCTGGGTGAGAGATCACACGGAGCAGAGAAGAGTGGAACTAGCCAAGGTATTCTAGACCAGGGCAGTCCCTGGCCAATCTAGCAAATTGATCCGGAGCCTGAGTGAACTCAGCTGAACCTATTGCGAACTGCCGATCTGTAGAAACTCGAGCTAAATAAATGGTTCTTGTTTTAAACCAATCCATTTGGAGTGAAGTGTTATACAGCAAAAGCTGCAAATATAACTGAAATATACATAATGACTTCATCCTTCCAATGTAATACATATCAGAATGAATCTTATATTAGAATCTAGTATTTGCTGATCACCTCTTTGCTCCTGGAGAGCAGGGACTGTATCATATTCATTTGTGTATTCCCATAGCACCTATGTTGTGTTTTGTTCAAAGTAGTCACTCAGAATTTGTTAAACTGAAATAGAAATCAACAATCAACTGAAGTTCAAATTCTGGTGTTCATCAGCATTACCTATGGAATGTTTAACAAGAAAAATATAATCATAGTACTGTTAAAGAATCAAGTAACTACTGAGAATCTACTATTGGTTTTTATTTTAATTTCCAATTATTTTAGGCCAATAAGTATTAGTACTTGGAGTGTACATGCCCTTCCTTCAGATAGTTCATACATAAACGAGTCCTAAAGTTGTCCTTCTCAAGATTCAGTATTTACCCAAATTTAGATTTTGATAGAAATATGCACTTGTATTTAGTATATGAATGTGAAGTCGTACTGCAATACTACATTTATGAACTTGGAAATATAGAAAGTATAAAGTGGGAAAGGAGATTTTGATGTTCACTGTCTAATTCACATTATTAATAGCAGGTTTTCTAAACCCAGAGATCTGACAAACGAGAAATATATGGAAATGTACTAAAGCTTCGAAGTGCTATACAAAAGCAAAATATCATGAAAGCTTGTATATTCAAAATGTCATTTCAGTCTTTTCCTTAAGAAGTAGAAAAATTAGAAGACAGGACATATGAGAAAGGATGAATAGTTTTGCTATCCATGTCTAATGTGCTTACTAATGAAATTCTATAGCTTTTAAATGACACTCTGCTATTATAATCTACAACGAGATGATTTCTTCACATATTACAGGTTTTGAATATTTTAAAAATTATCACCCACTTGAGAGAACACGAAAACATGCTCAGAATGAACACACTCATGAACAGAGAGATAAGTACACTTACGGACAGAACTAGTAAAAGAACATCCTGCTTCACTGAACTGGGAACATGTCCTCTTCTTGCATGTGCATGCTCCCTATAACTTACCCTGACTCTCACTTCTTCCTTTTAACATCTGCCATTCCTGTTTATTGTTATATTTGACTTATAAAGGGCATGCTTTTCAGTTAATAAGATGGCTACGGAATCAGAAGGTTTAGATAGGCTAAATAAATAAAAATAATCAAAATCTGTATTGTTAATATGTTTAAAAGAAAAACATAGAAGATAGAGGATCAATAAATCAGAATAAAAAGCCCATCCCCCAAATTGGGGTTATTAATGCTATTAATAAAAACATAAAGAGTCAAAGGGTCTAAGTTAAGTGAGACGGATTTTAGCCAACTTAAGAAATATCTTTCTCATAATCAAACTGTCATAAGGTGGGCCTTGCTGCTTTGGGGCAGTTGAGTTCTCTTCAAGGAGGAAATCAAGCACAGCTGGGGTGCTGTCCAGCCAAAGGTTATACTATATGATTTTTAAGATTAATTCCCAGCCAAAGAAATTCCTTAACTCTATTTTAGGATTCCAAAGAGCACATGCAAAGGACACAGATTCAGACATTAATCATGCCTCATTTGAAGTCTAAATACCTCCTTTGGAAATGTACTCCCAAGCTTTTTATTTATAGTTTGAACATCTCCACGGTTCAAAATAAGAAGTCTCCTTTTTAAAAATGCTCACTTTCAGTAAGTTATGAGAATGACTAAGATAACTGTAAAAAAGATCGATATTTTCAGCATCAGGCGTGGAAGGATAATTTTTCTCACAATAATTCAACCTACCTGAGACCTCCTGATAATGAGCTGCAGCCTGAGAGCTAGGAAAGGTTTCCAAATGACCTGTTAAAAAATCTAACCTGCTCTTATAGGGACAGACATTAATAGAAATTAGGTGATCAATAGGATAGGAAGACATACTCTCTCTTTACTAGTAAAATTTTGAGGTTTAGGGTTCTATTGCTAAAACATCATAAAAGGGTGTGGAGAACATAAATGTAACAGGAAACAGGAACGTCAGCATCCACAGTGCTCACTGAGAGCTCACAAGTGCCTGCACACTGCCCTCCGGCTCAGAGGCACCTTGTTTCGGCTGTGCTCTAACTCATTCCCTTCGTCAGCATTTTCTGTGAACACTGGTTGCTTTCCATAGGGACCAAAACCACAAACTAGAGAGAATGACCACACTTCCTTCTCATGAATAGTGAGAAGGGAAACATTTCTTCCTTGGATGCGATTCTCCAATGAAATTCAATTTCTGCTTTCCAAGAAAAGCCAATTGGCTCTGAAGTTTCTGAGAAGAAACAAGAGGAAAAGTCCAACAGATCCACTCCACAAAACCTAAAGCAAAAATCCCAATCTTTCAGCCTCACATCAGCCAACGGGTTAAAGCCTGAATGTCTCAGCTGAGTTGCTGAATCCACAGGTGGAAGGTCTTAACGTAGAAAGAGATACTGAGCTCCACTTGTGACCATGCTGAGAGAGCCTTTATGTGTAAGCGAACCCCCGCCTCGGCCCTCAAATATTAAGTTGACACACGTTTCTGGGACGCGGCCTGAATCCTCAAACTTTGGCGGATCTATAGAGACACAATTTTCTGTTTTCTGCTTAACAGGGCTTTCCAGAATTGTCATCAGATGACAGATTACACCACCCATCACAAGGATTCGGGGGTAGCTCCAGCCATCCATTATGGGGCAAAAGCTGTTCCAGCATGAATCAAGTCACAGTGGTAAGGAGACTACCGATAAAGCTTTAAGAAATACCCTGGGCATCTAAAAGTTTTCAGAATGCAAACTATGTCAGCTCTGAAAACAAGAGGCACTGCATCATTATGGCAGGAGAAACAAAGCCAGCCCCCTTCTTAAAACAGACCAAAAAAAAGATTGTTTTAATAGGAGAGAAGCATCAGTCATTGATTCTTACTTCATTCACACTTTCTATCCAACCCCATCCATCTTCGGAGTGAAGAGATGACAGAGCCCAGTTCACTTTCTCCCTCTTTAGGCCCCCGCCATCCTGCTCCTCTGTACCCAAACACCAAGGCCTACCCACCATTTCAACCTGCAGGCCACAGCTCTACAGAGCAAGTCTTTCTCTCTGATGGGCTTGCAAAGCTCTGGTATGCAGAGGGACACGTTTTCATCATGTTACTTTAATGGGGCTGCCTGTCAGGTTAGCGTGCGTGGACAGGGCCTTTGCTAATCATCTTCTAAAATGACCGTTTAGTCACTCATGGCTGACCGCATTCCACAAAGGAGAGGACGGGAAGACTTAAGGCAACAGAAAAAAGTCAACAAGCCTAACCAACAGTCCAGAATGTAAAATATTTCATTTTCCTTAAATGCTGCTGCCCTCATTATCTGCAAACAAAAGTTCTCTAGGCAGGCAGTCTCTGCATCAGTGCACCTGCTTAGCATTGGTTTGCTGAGTTATCTTTCTGCTGTGTCTGCAGAAGCCAACTATAACACAATGGGTCGCATCACTTGAGGGTCACTTGAGTCCCTCTACTCTTTGGGTCCCTCCTCCCACCTCCTGCCTTCCCTTCTACCCACAAAACCTTTAACGCCACCATAGCTAAGGATCCCAGATAGCTAAATAAAAGAGGTGGCCTCAAACAGAGAAAAACCCTTAGGTCTCCAGTGTGAATCGCCAATGCCAATCCCCCCGTCCCTCCCCTTTTTCCTTAAGACCTGATGGTCTTCAGTCACACATCTTAAAAGAAAAACAAAAAACAAAAACACAAAGACTTACTTGTCTCAAGTCGATGAAGGCCAACTGCAGCGTGTCCTCCTGGAACCCAGGCACCGGGCCGGATCTGGCAAACTCTGTGGGAAAGAAAAGAGGATAAAAAGCGCCTTTAACTAACCATGGACAGGGAGATTGGCAGACGGATGACAGGGAAGACAAGAGAGGCTGGGGGAGAGGAGGACCAAGCTTCTAAGGAGTCATGTCTCTCTCCCTTCAGCTTCTTTGTTTGCCCTTCAAAATTCGTGTCATCAAAACACCATTAATTCCAGCATCCTGACAGCAAGGAAACTGTACTAATTCGACCTGAAATTTATTCCCATGAGCTGCGCTGGGCTTCAGAGTATTTGTTTTGTGAATGGACAAACAACTTGCAAAGGAGGAGGGAGTGGGGGAGAGAAAAAAGTTTTTCCTCTCAACACAATAAAATCTTCAGCTGTGAAACTCTTTTCAGTTCCGAAAGCTATTTATATTTTAGATCGCTAAAGGAATTTTCCAATTTCACGCCTGTCACCTCATTCCCCAAGCATTTATCAAAAAATATTCCCTGCCACATCATTAATTATTCCCTTACTGATTATTTGCATTATCTCATGAGTGCACTATTGCCAACACACCAGGCACACACGCACACACCAGCAGCAGAGGCGCCCAATGCAGTGTTTGGCTCTTGAGCAAAAGCGTATTTGCAGATATAGAAAAGCCCATCAAAATAAATCTTTCTACAGAAACTTGGGGAACATTTGCACATGTCCTTCTTTCTAATATAGTTTTTCTTCTTAACTTTTACTTCTTATTCCACTTTCGAACCTTCTTTTTCTCTTTTCTTTACTCCAATTTAGTCTTAGGTCAAAAAGAATAGACCATGTGAATGCAATTTGCAATTTACAGTAGTGCCTTGGGTACATGCTCAGTTTATGACTCTGGCTTCTATATCGTTAACAAGAAGATAACTGCATAGGGCTACAGGGACAAATACTAGTAACAGTTAAGAATGTCAAATTTTATTGTCCCTAGGGCTGCTTATTATGAAATCAAAAGGTCTTGTATAAGCCCCCTACACAGGAGTGTGTGTATGTGTGTGTGTATGTGTGTATGTGCACACAGAAAATTTAAAAGGTGGACAGTTATTATGTCTTGAATTCTCTCTGTGAAGCCAAGGTGTGATGGACATTTAACATCAATCTACTACTCAAAAATAACCTCAAAAATAACTCGAGAATCTGCTTAGAGCAGATATGAAAAGGAATGCTTTTGATTATATTTTCCTCCAGGAATGAATTTAAGAAATTATTGAGAGTTGATATCATACTTTCCTTTTGAAATTAAATAAAATCCATCAGGATATTTGCATATTTGTCTGGAAGATCACTTTAAACAAATAGTAGCTGGATAGATTCAAATGGCAATGTATGAACAATGATAGAAATATATGTCCATTAAAAGTATTTTCCACTACAGGTTTCTAAGACATAATAGATTTTCACAAAACATTGGCCTAACTTTAAAAAATAATGCTACCCAGTCAAGTTGCAGGGATTATGAAAATAGTATGTGCCATGAAGTTTTAAACAACTTATTAAAGTGATTAAAATGTAGCACAAATGTACATAAAAGATTCTTACTTTAGACATTTCAAATAAAAATGATTCATAAATTAAGAAGACAAACTATATACCACAATTCACATAACTGTTTCTATTTGCTATGAAAAAAAAGTTAAAATGTCATTTATAAATTAATTCTATCATATGATAACCCAAGTGATTAAAGCTTTAAAAGAGTAAAATTCTAAAACTGTACAATACTTGATGAGGGCCCGGTTAATAGAAAGCTTGACATCATCCATCCTTCATATCTTACAATAGCCATTATCTGTGATAACCTTGTATAAAGAAAGCAGCTGTTGAAGTCACACGTACAACGTTCCCATTATATGCTCCCGTAGAAAACAGTTCTTTGAATTATGGCCGCAGCCCCTCTCTTTGACAGCTTTGATTGTCAGATGGTCAGCTTCAACAGGCCTCCCACGCAACGTGGTTTCACCCAAGGCTGGTAGATTTCTACTACTGCGACGGCATGACTCACGGCTGTGCTGCATAATTTGAAGTAGGAACCCTACTCGAGTCAAAATGCATGTTCTAGCAAGATGTTCTACTGCCTACACGTGAGCAGCTCAGGAGAGTCACCCTGCGATGCATGGTTTGAGAGCTGGCTAAACATTCTTGAATCTCCTTATTGGGCATGCTCCCTGGGGCTCACATGTTAACCTGATGAAACTCTCAAGATTCTGGATGTGATACATACTTAGTTCTCAGAGTCTCACTTTATAGACCTCATCTTTATGACATATTGAATCTTCCAGATTCCCAGAGGACATGGTGGCCTTGTAGATTTGACTTTCCTTTTATAAATCAGAAAATCAAAGAATGACAACTGCATCAAGATATGACAAAGTAAATATTAATTTTCATGTAGAGCTTATGGAAATGTCTAATTACAATATAGTCAACTTAATATTTGTATTTTTTTCTCATTGTCTTATGTGTGTGATTGTTGTCATCCCATGTCAATAGTAAACTCCTTAAGGATAAAGAACATATCACAGAATCTAACAAGTATTCAAAACAGTAAATGTGTATCAGATACTTATATATTAAATAAATAAGTTACAAAAATAGCAAGATTCAGTAATCACACAAACTCTTCACTGCCAATAACAATCTTTTGATCACAACATGTAAGGTGTTATAACATGGATATCGATGAACAGGCTTTAGGAATTTATAAGTTCCCTAAAATTAGGTGCACAATGATTTAGAGGATAGGCTCTGGGGTCATAAAAATCAGAGTTTGAGGCCAAGTTTCCCTAGCTCTATGGCCATGGGAAAATTAATCTCCTTACACTTCAATGTCTTTATCACCAAAATGAGAATAACAGCGCATTCCTTATAGTGCTGCTTTGCGGATTGCATGAAATAACACATGTAAAGCAGTTGGCAGAGTGCCTGGCATATCATAATTGATTATCATTACAATTAGTTTTTGGTGTGAATATGCATTTCTCTGGGAAGAAGATTCATAGCTTTCCCTGAATTCTCAGAGGCTTGGTGACCAAAGGTTAAGAAATAATTGTAAACCCAGGACAAAACATTAAAAGAAATTCAGCTACCATTCAGTGAAGAGTTGGCATTGCAAATTTATTTACAGGCAAGTACTTCAGTGCTTCACTGAAAGGAAGTTAATATGATAATTAGCCACAGCAATTTTTCATTGCAATTATTTTAAAAATTCAATAAGTGCATAAAATACATATTTAGTTTGTATTTCAATATATCTTTGAAAATATGATTACTGTCCTAGAATCAATTTTTTGATTCAAAAATGTTGTTTGCATAAAAAAGTGTGAATATTAAAAAAAATTAAAATTTGTATAGTCTGATTTCAAATATATAAAATGTAATATGCATCGAAGACACACAATAAGCACTCATTTCATAATTTAACTGAGGCTGTTACTGAGAGGAAGTTTATAAGAGGGCTTTATTCTTTTTATATCTTATAAATTTTTAAAATGAGGAAAGGCCACTTTTATAATGAGAAAATGAAGTAGAAGGACACACACACACACAAATTATTTAGTGGTGCTCATTTAGTAGTACTTTTTCTAGTGAAAAGAGATATAAGTTGTTCAAGATTTATCATTATCACCTGAGATTGATTTACACACCCAAATTCCCAGGTGATAGAATGTGCCTGATAATTTTGAATTAAAATGATAGAAAGGAGGAAAACCACACACATGAGGGAGCAAGAAGCTCCCAGCCAAAAACACACTGATGCATGCAAAAACTGATTCTATGGACACACAAGTCTCTTCAGAGTCACGAATGAAAACCTTCTTCTTTTGACACCACAGAAAGGGGAACATGCAAGCAATTCTGGCCTAAAGGAGCCGAAATATAATAAATAGGGCACAATGCACAAGTCCCTTTCTGGACTTGCCTCTGGATTCCAATATCTGTAGGTTTTCAGACTCTAAATGGTTAAGGCAACACCGAAATTTCCATAACCTGAAGTTCTACAGAATGGCCTCCCTATTGCAAAAATAACAGGGTGCTTGTTCTACTTCACACAGAATCAAACCTCACCTTTGACCATCTCATATGACTTGGGCACTGACAAGTGCCAATGAGGCTGGCAAGAAAGCTTCCTCTTAGAAAACTTGTTGAGGTTGGCAAAACCCCTGAGCAGCACCAAACCATCCTACAGAAAGCCCTCTCTCCTCAGCAGCTCTTCCCTGCCCTGCTCCAACATGGGATGGATTCCCAGAGTTGAAACTGGTATCACTTTGCAAATGTGAAAAATCTTTTCAAGAGGAAATCGCCAACTCATTGGATTTAATGAAGGATTAATTTTCATTAAACATAAATTAAAAGGAGGTATAAAAGTTACAGAAAAGAAGGCATACTATCAAGTAAAGATTTCAACCAGGGAAAGAAGTTAACACGAAAAGAATATTTTACTTACCAAATAGCCAACATTCCCTCCCATTCTCACATACATATAATTAAACCTATGAAGTATGACAATAATTTTTAAAACAATATTAATTTCTCAAAAATATCCTGTAGACTTACATTTCTAATAATATTCATATTATAATGAAATGGAATTAGTAAAGGAGGAAAAAAATAGGGATTCAACTAATTTCAAAATGCTTTCTAGATTTCCTAAAGGCCAATCTTAAAATTACTAACTTTGTCACAAATGGGGGGGGGGGGGGGGGAGGAAAAAAATTTTTTTAATTCATAATTATCAGGCGCATTCACGTTTAGCCAAAGAAAAACAAAATATACATTTCTAAGGAGCATAGAACTCTAATTAGAATAAAATGGTTGAATCAGTTACAAGAGGCTCTGAAAAGTCAAAATGTCTGCAATCTAGATATTAGACAGGACATTTTGGAGTTTATCAAAAGCAAGTTGTGAGAAACAAAATATAAAACCAATTCTTCTGAATCTTTGCAAATTTTCCACAGAACAAGAGTAATTTTCAAAGGAAGATGAACAACAAGGTA